AATAGCACTTAAAAAAAATATCTTGGGTTAACGCTGATCAAGCAAGTGTAATTATCTGTTGGATAAAAACATTAATACACTGAAGAAAAACTGGAGAAGATACCAGAAGATGGAAAGATCATTCATGCTCATGGATAGGTAAGATTAACATAGTACAAATGGTCATCCTACCAAATGCAATCTACAGATTCAATGAAAACCTCATTAAAATTCCAACATAATTCTTCACAGATCTTGAAGTCAGTTTCCAGCTTCATATGAAAATACATATATATACACATGTGTGCGCGCGCACACACACACACACACACACACACACACACACACACATTACAAGAAAAAAACAAAACAAAACAGGATAGCTAAAACAATCCTGAACAATGAAACAACTGCTGGAGGTATTGACATACCCAAACTCAAACTGTACCACAGAGCTGTAGTAATAAAAGTAGCATGATGTTGGTACAAAACAGACACAGTGATCAATGGAACTGAATTGAAGAACAGGACATGCATATATCCACACACCTATGGACACGGATTTTTTTTTTATTTAAAAGGGCCAAAAACACACACTGGAAAAAAGACAACTATCTTTAACAAGTGGTTCTGGTCAAACTAGACAGCTTCATGTAAAAGAATGAAAATAGATCCATACATAACATTCTGACCAAAACTGAACTCCAAGTGGATCAAAGACACAAAAATAAAATCAGATATAGACACTAAATCTGATAGAAAAATAGGGAAATAGTCTGGAACTCATTGGCACAGGAAAGGACTTTCTGAACTGAACACCTTTAGCACAGGCAGTAAGATCAATAATACTAAGAAGATTCTGCACAGCAAAGGACACCATCATTAGGACAGAACAGCAGCCTAAAGAATAGGAAAGTATTTTCCCAACTTCATATCCAATATAGGACTAATCTACAAATTATAAATAACTCAAGAAACAACATCAGAAGGCCAAATAACCCAATTATAAATGGGCTACAGATCTAAACAGAGAATTCTCAAAATATGAAACACAAATGGCTGAGAAACACTTAAAAATGTTCAATATCCTTAGCCAAAAAGAAAATGCAAATCAAAACTAGTTTGAAATTTCATCTTATACTTTTCAGGATGACTGAGATCAATAAAACAAATGAGAGCTCATGTTGGCGATGAGAGCTTAGGGGAGCGGGAAGTTCGAGCTGGAATGGGAACAGAGTGGGGGAGCAAGGAAAGAGATACCATGATAAATGAAAACACCATGGGAATAGGGAGAAGCAGAGTTCTAGGGAGATTCCCAGGAATCCACAAGGATGACTCCACCATAGATTATTGGCAATAATCGAGAGGGTGCCTGAGCTGGCCTACTCTGGTGATCTGACAGCTGAATACCCTAATTGTCATAATAGAACCCACATCCAATGACTGATGGAAGCAGATGCAGAGATCCATGGCTGGGTCCCAGGCAGAGCTCCAGGAGTCCAATCGATGAGAGAGGAGGGATTCTATGAGCAAGAGATATTGAGACCATGACTGGAATAAGTACAGAGACAACTAGCCACACTAGTGGAAATGCATGAACTGAGGACCAATAGCTGGAGAGCCCCCATGGTACTATACTAGGCCCTCTGGATAAGCGAGAAAGTTGTTTGGCTTGAACTGTATAGGGGGCCCCCCAGGCAGTGGGATCAGGACCTGTCCCTGGTGCATGAACTGGCTTTTTGGAGGCCAGTGTCTATGGTGAGATACTTTGCACAGTCTTGTTGAAGGGAGGAGGGGCTTGGACCTGCCTCAACTGAAATGTACCAGGCTCTGCTGACTCCCCATAGGAGACCTTGCCTTGGAGGAGGTGTGAATGGGGAGTGGGTTGAGGGGGAATATTGGGGGGTAGAGAAGGGAGAACAGGGGAATCTGTGGTTGGTATGTAAAATGAATAGAAAATCTCTTAAAATAAAATAAAATGGCATTCTTCCTGCAAAATACGGTATTTCTATAGTGACACAAAACTTGTAGGACTAACCAATCAATACCTTATTTGATTTACAGCCCACTCCATGAGATAAAACTCATACCTGACCCTGCTTGAGTGACCAAGAACCTAAGACTAGACAGCTCAGATATCCAGGAGAAAACCAAATAGTACTGTTTTACAAAATGAATGTAGCAATACAATGATTCCTAATGACATTCTGCTCCACTCATAGATCAGTGTCTTGCTCAGTCAACATCAGAGAAGCTTCTTCCTGCAGCAGATAGAAACAAATACAAAGACTCATAGCCAGACACTATGCAGAGAGAGACTGTGAATCATTGGGCCCTAAATGGAATGTTTCCATCATATCCCTCCCCTCAGAGCTCAGGGAACAACGCTTGGGGGTGGGGGAGTTGGGGGAGAGGAGGTGAGAAGAGTATAAAAGCCAGAGGAAATGAAGGACACCAAGGAAACAAGAAACACAGCAGGACTGATGCACGTAAGACTCACAGAGACTTCACACCAGATAGGGCCTCAGAGCTGAAAGGAGAAGTAGACACATTATCCCATACCTAACCCAGAAGCTATCTCCAACTGATTACTTGCAAATGAAAAATTAAGTTTTCTCCAAGGAAGTCTCACGGGTAAACTCTTCTTCAGGATAGTCCACAAGCCCAGCAGTAGATGCCCAACAGAAAACAAACTCAATGGCATCGTTGGTGGGTCCTTGTCTCATAATGTCACGTCAGGGCTTTTTAAATTTAATTTAATTTTTTAAAACTTATTAGAAATTCATTGTATTCTTGCCTTCCTGGCTTTGCATATATATTATGGCATCTGGTTTTCTGGGTTTTTTGTTTGTTTGTTTGTTTGTTTTTTAAGACAGGGTTTCTCTGTGTAGCTTTGGAGCCTTTCCTAGAGCTCACTCTGTAGCCCAAGCTGGCCTCGAACTCACAGAGATCCACCTGCCTCTACCTCCTGCATGCTGGGATTAGAGACATGTACCACCACCTCCTGGTTCCCACATTTGTGTTTTTATGTGATTCTTGAGTGTGCAAATGAGTGGGTCTAGCATCTGTATCTGCTTCTTAACAACTTTTCTTTTGCTCCTCTCCCTCCCTCCTCACTCCCTCCCTCCTTATTCTGATGTTTGTTTTTGTTCAATCTTATTATAATTTATTTCATTATCACCCCTTAAATGCCTGTTGTTTTCTAAGGAGAAACAGAAAAGGGAGTGGATCTGTTAATGAGGGAAGGTGAGGAGAAACCTGAAAGAGTAGAAGAATGGGGAATCATAATCAAAATATAGTGCATGAATTTTGTTTCCTTTTTTATTGAAAACAGATTCTTCTCCCATACACCCTGATCACAGTTTCCCCTCCCTCCACTCCTCCCATTCCCCATGTCCCCTCTCCCCCAGATCCACTCCCCCTCCATTTCATCTTCAGAAAAGAACAGGCCTCCAAGAGAAGACAGCTAGCCAGGACAAAACAAGATACAAGACAAGGCAACCCAAAAGGAGGAAAAGAGTCTCAAGAGCAGGCAAAGGAGTCAGAGATATCCCCACTCCCACACCACCACCAAGCTAACAACTATATGCAACATATACGCAAAGGATCTGGTGCAGACCCATGCAGGCCCCTTGCTTGCTGCTTCCATCTCTGTGAGCCCTGCTTTGTGGATTTGGTGGGCCATGTTCTCCTGGTGTCCTCTATCCCCTCTGACTCCTATAATCTTTCTTTCCCCTCTTCTGTGGGATTCCCCATCTCCGAAGGGAGGGACCCAACGGAGACCTCCAAATTAGACTCTCTGCATATGTCTGGCTGTGGGTCTCTGCACCTGCTCCTATCTGCAGCTAGAAGAAGTTTCTCTGATGATGACTAGAGAAGGCAACAATCTATAGGTATAACAGAATATCATTAGACATCAATTAATTGATTTTGTGGTTTCTGGGCTATTCATTCTCCGGTTCCTGGATATCCAGGCAGTGTGAGGCATGGCTCCCTTTCGTGGTGTGGGCCTCAAGATAAACCAAACTTTGGTTTCGCTATTGTCACAAATTCCATGCCACCATTGCCCCAGCACATCTTGCATGGAGGGTGGGAGGGAGGAGAAAGAAAATAAAACACCCTAACAAATCTCAAATGTATCATCAAAATCAACAGACTTAAATTTACAGTCATGCTTTTCTCAAATTGACCCTAAAGATATTCCTTTATCTCAGTAATATTACTTCTGCCCATATAGTTTGAACAATTTAAGAAACTATTCTTGACATTTCAATTCCTTTACCTTGTCAATTACACTATTAGATTCTTTTAATTCTGAATCTTTACAAAAGCTCAGATCTGCTCAATTCCCTCTATCTGTTGCTATGACAGACCAAATTTTCTTCGTTTACTCTCCTCAACCACCCCACAATATTTCTCTTCAACTGCTGGTAGCAAAGAGATCTCTTGACAGCAGAAGTAAAACTGTAGCATAACATAGAATACTTTCAGTTATTACGTTTGATGGTTCACAAGTTCTCATGTAAATAGTGTGGCACACAGGTGAATATTTACCAGAGTCAGGATTGGCTATAGCTGCAACTACAATACAATTATGCAAGTTGTAAGCAGAAGGCTCTAAATTTCTAAGGTAGAAATTTAACAACAACCTGGTGTGACTAGGCCATCCAGAGCTAGAGAGGAGCTGATATCAGATAAGACAGGAAATTTCAGCAGGAGCCAGTAATGCAAAAATTATAGACCTCAAACGGTATTTATATTTACTTGTTAACAAAAGGCTTTATTATAATCATTTAATCTACAAACATTTCTCATAATGCTGTTCTGTTAAAAGTGGGGTGATATTTATTTAACCAGGATTCATTGAATATTTATTCATGGCTACTACACTAATGTATTTCACTCATCTGTTTTCTTTTTATTTTATTTTATTTTACAATATAATTGAATTCTACATATCAACCACGGATTCCCTTGTTCTCCCCCCTTCCGCCCCCCTCCCACCCCCCTCCCATCCCCCCCAGCCCACCCCCCATTCCCATCTCCTCCAGGGTAAAGACTCCCCTGAGGATTGAGTTCAACCTGGTACACTCAGTCGAGGTAGGTCTAGTCCCCTCCTCCCAGGCTGAGCCAAGTGTCCCTGCATAAGCCCCAGGTTTCAAACAGCCAACTCATGCACTGAGCACAGGACCCGGTCCCACTGCCTGGATGCTTCCCAAACAGATCAAGCCAATCAACTATCTCACCTATTCAGAGGGCCTGATCCAGTTGGGGGCCCCTCAGCCATTGGTTCATAGTTCATTTGTTTCCATTCGTTTGGCTATTTGTCCCTGTGCTTTATCCAACCTTGGTCTCAACAATTCTCGCTCATATAAACCCTCCTCTCTCTCACCAATTGGACTCCCGGAGCTCCACCTGGGGCCTGGCCAAGGCCACACAACTGTTTTCTAATGTTCTACTGAGAGGTATGGAAAAGAAAGCCAGTAGGGCATGGTGGCCATGACCTCTGGTGAGAAACTTTAAAGAATATTTAACAGGAACTAACAATTTCAAAACTATAATTAAAATAAAAAATAACAAAGACTAGTTTAGTGGTCAATTAACTGCAGCTAAAGAAAAAAATAAGTGAATAAGAAAGTAAGTTTAAGGAAAATAGAATTCAGCAAAGAAACAAAAAATATTTAAAAGGCCATCTATATGTACAAATGCCTAGATGGAAACTCAGACACATTATTGACTTTGCATGTAGCCAAATTACAGTAAAATCATTACTTCCAAATTGGTTTCTTGAGGACTTCTCCCTTTCTTTTCTCTTCTTTCTTTCTTTCTTTTTTTTTTTTTGGTGTGGGGGGGGTGCTGATATAAATCTCATGGCCTTTTAACTGTTCAGTCACTTGAGCTCTCTGTAAATGAAACAAACAAACAACAACAAAAAAAAAAACTTGGAAGGTGGATGAGTTATTTATTCAGTAAGCCAAATGCTCTCTCTAGCAGTGCCTCAGCTCTTCCTTAATCAGAGCATTTTTAAGTAAGTAGAAAACCCTTTTAGAAAATTCTTATGCCTGTAAAAGCCAGGCCTCTCCTCCTTGAAAAATAATCCCTGTTCTCTCTGCACAACCCGCTTGTCAGCAAAACCAATAGCAGGGGTCTACATAAATGTAGCATCTCAAGTGCAATATAGTCTCCTGCTGTTTTCTTGCAGCCAAGGTATCCATTAAAGAGCTGGCACAGCTTCCCAGGGCACATTAGAAATGGCCGTTACTAAATACACAGCCTCTTCTTCCTTCCTCATACAGATATTGCTTTAATTGATCAATCACCCCTACTGTGTTCTGCTGGTGCCAGGGAAACTGGAAGGGATGAACTACTGCTGTACAAGTTATTGTAGTCTCTCTTGATGAGGAAATACAACATAGACTTTGAGGCTGAAAATGCATTTTCCAGGTTATTACTTCCTTTCACTATTTTATGCCTAAAGTGGGAAAGTTTGGACTCAATACCCCAAGCTGTCTGAAACTCAAAGGTTCACTGCTTTGCTCTAGGGAAATATAGATCTCGGCTGGCCAACATGATGAATTGCTTTTTGTTATGCCCTTCTCAGACCTTTGAAAGTACTGTAGATTAAAATCAAGAGAGCCCAGGAGAAATCAGAAATTCTAACAACAGGTCAGAAGTTGTTGCATTGAGTGAATTATAAAAGATATGAAAGTTCCACTACCAATTTAGTTACCTCACTAATTTCTATCACAATCCCCCTCTATGTATCTTACTGCCTTTTTAATTTTGATCATGTGCTAAGACTATAAATAAACATATGGATGATATGATCCTGAGTGCAAGACCTAGAAAACTCTATTCAAAGTTGTATAACTTAAATAACTACTTGATCTTGGACCTAGTAGAACTTTTTCTTGCCTTATTTTCTTCATATGCATACAATAACATATAATCTATTTTAATTTGAAAACAAATGGCTCATGAAGCACTTAATGAACAGGTATAGGCAACAATGGGATGTAGTGCCCAGTAGAGAGAAGAGGGGTTCTTAGCTATCTTATATCATAAACCATACTCTAATTGATAAAACTTACCATATTTTTTCTTTTTAATAAGCAATTTAATGAGAATAAAGACTTTTTCTCATATTGGTATTCTCAAGTTCTCAATGAATGTTTGAGAGAACAAATGATGGTTATGTTAAACATAGTCAAGGTCAACTGGACTGTACTTTGATGAAGATTACATGGGATTATATAAAGACTATGCCAGGGAGTCTGAATTCAACTGGATGAAATGAATGAAGGCTCTAATGGATAGTTCAAAATGCAAAGTAACACAGAAAGCCCTAATTCAACTCTGGTGTACCTAACACAAAAACAAAGTCATAAATATAGAAAAGAGATCTTTACAGAAGAAAGAAGGCCAGCAAGGCTTGGAAGAAATAACAAAAGTCAGAGACTAGTAAGCAGAATGCATTATGTACGGGTATGAAGTTGTCATAGAACAAAATTAATAAACAACAAAAATATATAAGTTAATATCTCTGATGAACATCATTAGAAATATCTTCATCAAAATACTAGCAACTAAATTCATCAGCATGTTAAAAGGTTTATATGTCATGATTAAGAGAGTTTACCACCTAAATGTAAATGACTTAACATATGCAAATCAATAATATATAATTCATCACATTAAAAGTGAAGGTTTAGAATCTTATGATAATCTGAACTCACAGAGGCCTACCTCTGCCTCCCGAGTGCTGGGATTAAAGGCATGTGCCACAACCACCAGGTGATCATCTTAATAAATGCAGAAAAACAAATAGACAAAATTCTATGTCCTATTGTAATAACACTTTTGGACTGAATTAGGCATGACAGAATTGTTGCTGTTCAACAATATAAAGTTCTCATGAGAGTAAATTCATGGGTAACTACTCAATGATAAGAGTTATAAGCCTTCCCCTAAGAACAGGAAGAAGAAAAGTGGACCAACAATTCCAATCACACACTCAAATTAGTACTGAAAGCTATGGCCAGACAATTAGGCATGATAAAGGAATTAAACACATACAGATCAAAAAGAGAGAAATCTTTTGGCTTGAAGATGACATAATTTATTATACAGAAAGTCCTGTAGACTCTACACAAAAACTTATGTAAAAAATAAATTCATCAAAGTTGCAAGATAAAAAATTAATACATAAAGAAAAATCAGTTGTTTCTACCTATTGTAAGAATGAACTCTGAAGAAAAACTATTTAAATATACCATCATTTTTAATAGTATCAAAAAAACCCATTTAGAAATACACTTAAGCAAGTAGGTGAAAGATCTGTATAATATCAATAAAGCATCAATGAAAGGTAGTTATGAGTACAAACATGTATGGAAAATATGGAAACATCTTGTGTTTATGAAGATACATGCTATACACTTAAAAGTAACAAGTAGACCCAGTACTAAGATTCAAATGGTGGGTTTTATAGCAACAAAAAGTGGTAATAGGATTTACATAAAACTAAAAGAGATCCAGGATTTTCACATCAATCTTGGATAAAAATGAAGCTGGAGTCACTAGTTTACCTGATACTAAGTATACCATAAGAGATTCAAACAGCATGGCATTGATATAAAACCACCTTACAGACTAGGAGAACACAAAACAGAATCCAGAAATAAATCTACCTATTTACAGTGAATTACCTTTAACAAGCAATGAGAAAAAAAAAAAAAAAGCTGTGCATGATGTTATGAACATTCAATCCCAGCACTTAGCCCAAAGCAGGAAGATCTTCCCAAGTTCAAGATCACACTGGCCTACATAGATCCTGGAAAGCCAGGGTCACATAGAGAGACCTTGTCTTCAATAAAATGCCCAAATCACAAAATATGGAAAGAATGGGATATTATCTACAATAAATTATGCTAGGAAAATGGATTACCTTACCGAGAATAATGAAATTTGAGGTCTCCCTTAATTAATATACAAAGTCAACTTAAAATGGATTAAAGACTTTAATATGAAACTTGAAACTTTACAAATTGTAGAAGAAAAAGTAGTATAAAATTCTTAACATTAATCTGGACAATGTTTGTGCATTATCTCAAATGCACAAACTAAAAGAAAAACAGAAGTATACAAAAATACAGATAAAAGAAACTGCATCAAAATAAGAAACCACTTTATAACAAAAAAAAATTAATTATATGGACAAGCTAATGATAGGAGAAAATATCTCCAAACTACATATGATATATGTGTGTATAAGGATCTGATACAATGTAAGCAATAATAATTAATGATGACAATAAATAATAACTACCCAATTAAAGATTAGAAAAGACCTGAAAAATCATGTGTTTTTTTTTTCCTAAAGAAGTCAAATAAATAGCCACATCAAATCAGTTTTTCTTCACTGCCACAAAGCACTTGAGAAAGTGAACTTTACAAAGGAAGAAAGGCTTATCGGTGTTCAGTGTTAGGTCACCTGTTTCAGCGGTTTAGGCCATGACCAACTGGCTCTATTCTTTGGGGGCATACAGTGAGATGAAACATAATAAAGGACTATGGTGTAGCAAAGTCACTCACTGATGGCTATGGAAGAATACGAAATAGGAGGCAGGGGTTTGGTCCCTAAACTCCCCTTTAAGTCCTCCCCTAATAACCTGCCCTCTTTGTTAGAACTCATCTCCTTAAAAATGTTCTAGTGTCTTCCAACAGCAGGACAAGCTGACAGCCAAGCATACATGGCACATCCTTTGTATATTCTTCATATCTACACAATAAATGTCCAGGAAATATATTTTGAAAATGCTCAAAAGCAATAATCATCAGGGGAAATTCAACTCAAAATCACAGCAAGATATTACCACATTCCCATTAGGATGACTATTATCAAAAGGACAAGAGAAAAGGACACATTTGCATACTGTTGGTACAAACGTAAATTGGTGTAGAAAACATTATGGGAGATTCTGAAATCATTAAGAACAGAACTACCATATGAAACAGCAATTGTACCTCAGCATGAGTATAAAGAAAGTGAAATAACTTGGAGATATGTCTAAACATCTGTTGTCCAAGTGCAGCATTTTTCACAATGTCCAGAGTATAACTAACTTATCTGTTTTCAAATTAATACACAAACATAAAGAATACAAAGTATGCACACATACTACTACTACCACCACTACCACCACCACCACCACCACAATGAAGTATGTTTCTGCCATAAAACATCAGAAATTTGTAACATAAAACTGAAGGGTACTGTAAGGTCAAAAAGCCAAACAGAGGACAAATGAATTTTATAATCTTACTTAAATATGGTATCTAAAATTATGAAAGCTATAGAAGCAGAGAATATAACAGTATTTTCCCAGGGCCTTAATGTGTGGAAAGGGAACAATGATGATTTAAGAATAAGTTTTAGTCATAAAGGCTAAGTTCCAGAGTGCAAATGTATAGTGTAAGAACTGAGTAATAGGCCTGTACTATATACAAAAATTTTCTAATTATAGACCTTAAATTTTGTCATCACATGCAAATAAGAATGGTAAAGGCTCTCATGAATATGCTAATTATCTCAACAATGGCAATTATTTTATAATGTCTCTATGTATATACATCAAAACATGATACAGACTTTATGTATAAGTAATTTATATTTGTTAATTGTATTTCAATACAGGTGAGAAGGACAAAAAACTGGCTGGGGCACTGAACAGAACAATGAACTGCTCTTGGATTCTTTAGGGTTGTTTAAGCTTAAGGTGACCAAACACTCATCTCCAAACCCAGTGGTAAGCCACAAAACAGTCTATTGCTAGTTCCTCCTTCAGTTAGTATTGAGAGCACCCATGTCTTGTAAGAAGACATCTGCAAATCAAATTACATATTGAATACAGTGAGATATTTTTTGTTGTTGCTGCTGCTGTGTTTTAAATTTAGAACATAGAATGCAGTCTTAAATGTCAGGAAATAATTAAGTTTACCTAATTACTTCAGTCACAGACATTTTAGGTACTACAGGATGATGCTTTAACATAAATAGCAAGTGTAGATATTTTTCTAGTCACAATCTTTAATATTATTTCAAATAGAAAAGTATGAATATCACCTCTAGTAATTATAAAAATCATTTATTTGAAGTAGTCACACACTGCAAACAGAATCATCTCTGTGCAGTTCAAGCTTCTAGTGCAGATGCAGAGCATCATTTTGCCTCAGGAAGATTCTAAGTCTTTCTCAGTGGAAAAGAGAATGCCTAGTTTTTATTACTTTACATCTCCCTGAAGTATACTGTGCACTGCTTCTATTAGCATAATCTTTTACAAATTGGTGATAAATATGCTGTTTAGATGCTTGTATCTAAGTGGGTCATCCTGCAATGAACAAACCCCAGCATGATGTATAGATGTATGATGTGAAACTTCTGAATAACCTCTTTTCTCCACTTTTTAAGTAAAATATGTAACAACAGCAGGCTATGCTCCGATTCCTTCATTATTTATTGTTTCTCAAAGGACACTAAATGAAGTTCAACAATGCCCAAGTTCAACAGATCTGATCACTTCTCCTTGTTTTAATGATTTATTTAAGTCTGCATTGTGTGCCTTAGGGAAACAAAAGAGAGGAGATTACAAGGATTAAAGATATCCTATAAAGAAACAGACTTCCCTGGGAGCTAGTGACATTTCTGTGACCTGTGATCTTCAAAGAAGCCTCAAACTAGAAAACAAATACAAACACTAAGTCCCTGTCAAAAGGTGAGAAACCAATACTTAGGACAGTATGAAAACAGAATATTTAACTGATCATTCGTCAAAACATAACACTTAACTTGTACTAGGATCTCTCTGGTAACATGGAGATGCATGAGGAAACATGACCTACTTCTTGATCCCAAGGAACTTACAGTCCACTGCTAACAACAAACATTACAGACATGTTGAAATGTCTGTATCATTGGTTCTAGAAAGCATGAGGTAAAGAGGGTTAGGTAGCAAATAGTAAAAGGCTATTCTTTTTTTTTTTTTTTTTTTGGTTTTTCGAGACAGGGTTTCTCTGTGTAGCTTTGCGCCTTTCCTGGAACTCACTTGGTAGTCCAGGCTGGCCTCGAACTCACAGAGATCCGCCTGGCTCTGCCTCCCGAGTGCTGGGATTAAAGGCGTGAGCCACCACCGCCCGGCAAGGCTATTCTTATAGTACCAGCAAGGCAGGAAACTCCCTCCCCACAAAAATCTACCATTAATGGAATTTTCATGTGATATTTCAAACAGCAAAGTACTCACCATAGGAAATTCATACTTTTTCAACTTACATTTCATCATAGAGCAATTATACTCGATTCTGATATTTATGAGTGATCAGTAAAAAATCTTTTAAATATAAAACAATGGTCTTGGTTTGCATACATACACACATATGCAAATATATACACATATATACACGTACATATATGAATGTACACATACAAACATACCTATACTCATTAGGTATACATATATACATATGCGCACACTCGTGCACAGACACACACACACACACACAAATTATATTTGTAAAGAAAATTCTAGGTCTGGGTAACCTCATTCAATACAATCCTTTCTAGAAACATTGATTTATCTGAAAATTTCATGATTTCATTTTTCTTTACAGCAATAGTATTCCATTGTGTATGTGTACCACATGTTCATTATCCATTCATCTGCTGAAGGACATTTAGGTTATTTCTATTTCCTGGCTATTGTAAATACAGCACCTATGAACATTACTGAAAAAAATATCTGTGTATTAGTATGGCAAATTCTTTGGGCATATACCAAAGAGTGATATAGCTGAATCATCTGCTAGAATTATTTTTAGTTTTTGAGTTTTGTCCAATACTGGTTCCCAGAGGAGGAGGTGTATCAATTTACATTTCCACCAACAGTGAATAAGAGTGCTTCTTTCAGCACAACCTCACCAGCATTTGTTGTCAGTTGGTTTATTGATCTTAGACATTATTACCAGAGTAAGACGAAATCTCAAAATTATTTTAATTTGCATTTCCCTATTGGCTAAAGATGAGAAACACTTTTTGAGGTGTGTCTTTGCAATTTTTCATTCTTTTATTAAGAATTCTGTTCTTAATTAATTAAGCCTATTTTTTTAATTGCTTCAGTTGCCAAAATAACTCCTATAACAAAAGCAGTAAATGCTATAAACAAAAACAAAGGTGAATGGGCATGAAGATATTAAGAAGTCTGTATAGTTTGGAATACAGTGTTTAAGAAACAGCTCTCTGGGATGTGGAGCAAGGGGAACACTCCTCTACTGTGGGTGGGAGTGCAAACTTGTACAGCCACTTTGGAAATCAGTATGGAGGTTTTCAGAAAACTGGGAATCAATCTACCTCAAAATCCAATGATACAACTTTTGGGCATATACCCAAGGAATTACTCAATCATACCACAAGGACACATATTCAACTATGTTTATAGCAGCATTATTTATAATAGCCAGAACCTGGAAACAGCCTAGATGCCCCTCAACTGAAGAATGAATAAAGAAAATGTGGTACATATACACAATGGAGTACTACTCAGCAGTAAAAAAAAAAAAAAGAAAAAATGACATCATGAAATTTGCAGGCAAATAGATGGAACTAGAAAACATCATCCTGAATGAGGTAACCCAGACTCAGAAAGATAAACATGGTATGTACTCACTTGTAAGTGGGTACTAGATGTAAAGCAAAGTATAACCAGACTACAACCCACAGCTCCAGAGAAGCTAGCTAACAAGGAGGACTCTATGAGGGACACATGGATTGCCCTAGAAAAGGGATATAGATGAGATCTCCATGAGTAAACAGGGGGGGGAGGGAGGGCAACAGAGGGTAGAGGGTAGGGGATGGAGGATGAGAACATAAAGGAACGGGATGGTCGAGCTAGAACAAGGATGGAGTGGGAGAGCAATAAAGAAATACCATGATAGAGGGAGACATCATGGGGATAGGGAGAAACCAGGTGCTAGGAAAGTTCCCAGGAATCCACAAGGATGACCCCAGCTTAGACTACTAGCAATAGTAGAGAGGGTGCCTGAGCTGGCTTACGCTGGTAATCAGATTGTGAATACCCTAACTGTTATCATAGAGCCTTTGTCCAGTGACTGATGGGGGCGGATGCGGCACCAGGCCAAGCTTGGGGAGTCCAGTCCAGGAGAGGGAAGAGAGATTCTATGAACAAGAGGCATCAAGATTATGATGGAGAAACCTACGGAGACAGATGGGCCAAGCTGGTGAGAATTTACTAACTTTAGACCAACAGTTTGCAGTCTCCATGGGACTGGACTAGGCCCTCTGCATAAGCGAGAGAGCTGTGTAGCTTAATCTGCTTGAGGGGACCCCTGGTAGTGGGATTAGGATCCATCCCTGGTGCATGAGCTGGCTTTCTGAAGCCAATTATGCAGGGGGGAGAGCTTGGGCCTGCCTCAACTAAATATATCAGGCTTTGCTGACTCCCCATGGGAGGCCTTGTCTTTTCAGAGGAGGGAATGGGGGATGGGTTGGGGGAGGAAGGCTGAAGAGGCAAGAGGAGGGAAGAGAGGAGGATCTGTGATTGGTATGTAAAAATGAATAAAAAATTATTAATGAAAAAAAGTTAAAAAAGAGAAAAGAAAAAGAAAAACCTCTCTGAAAATATGGAATGTATAGGGCATGCCAGAGTCGACGACTTGGCTGTCTGGAGAAAAGTGTTCAAGCAGAGTACAAAATGTTTAGAGCAGAGTAGGCTCTATGTATCCCAAAAACAGAGTCCAGTGCATTTGGAAGAACAGTGAACAAAGTATGTTGGTAGAATTTAGAGAAGATATAGACAAGGTATAAAAGAGAATTAATTGCAATAGAACGATTTTGTTCTAGGTGCCGCAGATGGAATGTGTATGCCACTCCTCTCAAAAGCTAAGTTGAAACCTCAGCACCCAATATGCTTCTGGGAAAAAAGTGAACAAGAGGCATTATACAAATAAGATTGGTACTCTTACAAAAGGAATCCTACAAGACCTTGGTCCTTCGCTACGTAAAGATAGCACAAAAAGAGCTGTCTTTAAACAAGGACATATTTTGTTACAACAGCCAAAATAGACTCTGATGCCCACTAAGAAATCACTGTTAAGTAATGAGTGGAGTAATAGACGACAATTAGAGTCTACATTCCACACTGACTGCTCAGTGAAAAAAAGATAAATGTAAAAGCAGAAGGAACTGGGATAAAGACACTGGAACTTGACATTTTATTAGCCACATCTAGTAAATTCTATGCTCAAACCAGAAACAGAGCAAGAATGCTAGGCATACTACAAGAAAAAGAATTCACAATGCTGTTTCAGGGATACAGGAAATGAGTGAGGAAAATAATACAATTTACTTATTTGTATTTAAATTCCCAGGACCAGATGGGTACATCAAACAAGTCAGTATAGAAAGAAAAATGAAAAAAAAAATACTGTATCATTCAATTACTAAAATGATGAGTAAATGAGAACCTGCTGCCAGAGGGATCGGAAGAGGCTACCAGTGAAACAGAGAAATGCATGAAAAATCAATGAGGAGACAAAGAAGGAATTGGAAGGAAAAGATAGTCAATAACCAGTTAAGTTGGCCAAAGAACGCACTCCAGTAACAGTAATATAGAAACCTTTAGAGCTGGACACGGGACATTTTACCTGAAGCAGAAGGAGTACAAAAGTTTGAACAGTTTCATAAAAGAAATGGTATGACAGGAGAGAAGAAATGGTGGGGAGAGGGAAAGATAAAGGGGAGGACAGAAGAGGATGGGAAGTGGGGAGAATGAATTAGAACAAATATGAACCGATCAGTAAAGAGAAATGAGGTCATGTATATTCTCTATGATTTGGGGATTATCCAATAGGAAAAAAATTACCAGTATGAGGCCATTAACTTAACAAAAGTTAAAGGAATCCTGGAAATAAATGTAAGCACTAGTCTCCCAGAGGAATAGGGACTAAACCCGGTTTTTCTAAGAAATGCATAAGCTTTTACAACCGAAAAGCAGAGTACCATGGTAGAGCTACACATTACAAGGTATAGCCATGTGACTTCAGGCAAATATTAAATTTCTCCATGTTAACATTTCTTCCTTAACAGAAAGACATGACACCGGAATTTACTTTGTAAGGTTGAAAGAAATTAAATGATGTATCTATTTTTGTCCCTCAAATATGTGAGTTCTATGAAAGCATTTCCACTTTTTTCTTTTTCCTATACTTATGTTTTGTCTGATATATAATAAGAATTCAACAAATGTGGAGCTAGAGAGTTAGCTCAGCGATTAAGAGCTCTTGCTGCTCTCCAGAGGACCCAGGTTTGATTCCTAGAGCTGACAGTGATTCACAACCATCTGGAACTTGAATTCCAGGAGAATCCAATGTCCTCTGGATTGTGCTCCAATAGTCACAGAGGGAGGCAAAGCATGTATACATATAAAATAAAAATAATGAAATTCAAAACAAATAACTTAGTAATTGTGATCTTTTACTACCACCACCTGCTCATTTTTAACACAACTGTCATTATGGTATAAAATGATCTCTTCCTCCATAAGGACACAGGGGATTTCTCTGTAACTAGGATTGGTAGAGGAGTGAGGGGTATAAAAAAAGTACAATATTAAAGTTAAATTTTGTAAGTTACTTCAAAAATGTCAGGATTCCTTCTAAAGGCTATATGATCACAGCAGTAATATTTCACACCAATGTTTCTGTTCACATTTCTTCTAAAAGGAGAAATACTATACAAATACCTCACTACAGTCATTAATTTGCCTTTCTCAAAATACAGTAATAATATGCACTGTAAAAACCAGTTTATGTTGCAGATTTTTGTTATCAGTATTTTCTCCCAGCAATGCTGCATTGCACATAAATTTATGCAGATTTTCAATTTCATTATTTTTTACAACCATTCAACCAAGATGTTCCTAGAACAAGAAAAATAAACACTGTATATCAAATTCAATTATGAGTGACCTACTTAAATGTTTTCTCCATGTTACTCTCAAATTAAAAAATAAGCATTTAATGCTAATGCATGAGATGAAGCATATAGAAGCAGTAGACATTTTTAAATATAGCTTATGCCTTGCATATTTAATCACATCAGCTGATGATCCACTGAATAATTTGATATATCAATTAGTGCTATCAGCATTAAAGTATCTGCTAGTATTTTTAGCATCTGTTACTGCACCTAATAGAATAACCAATGAGGCAAAATCTTCACCTTAGGAATTCAGTGGAGGGCTTTTGTCAGAAGACAGTCTTCTACTCGGTAAGCACTGTTCAGATACAATAAGGAAGCTTTCAGAATTCCATAAGAACACAATTTCTTTATCCCTTCATCCAGACACTTAGAAGGTTTCCTTATCCTGGTTATTGCAAAGAATGCTGTGATGCATAGGGAAGGGGGCAGATATTTTTAGTAAGGTGGTGATTTTGTTTCCCTTGAGTAGATGGCCAGAAAAGAAACTGCTGGGTCATATGGAAATTCTATTTTTAAATTCTCTAGGTACCCCCATGCTGTTTTCTACAACTGTTGTATCAATCTATAGTTCACCATCAGTATACCAGAGTTCCTCTTTCTCCGTACTCCCACCAACAACTTTTACCCATTCTTCCATTTGATAATAGCAATTTCAAGAGAAATGATGTGTGAAATGTAAACACTCAAGTACACAGAGTAGGGGGCAGGCAGTTCAGTTATCACAGGACCAGGACGGGGTGGGAGGCCTGTTACTACAGCTTCAGAGCACTTCAAAGTCTTACTCTGTCACCTAAGGAAGGAGTGGGAAAGTAATGAGGAATTTCTTGGCATCACTGGAGAATGCTGTTTAATAGCCCTAACTGGATTCACTTAGAGATTAGTGACTAATAGTGTTTTCATAGTTCATTTGTATACTTGAAGACATTAACTATAACTCAACATGTCATAAGGACATCTATTAAATGCCTTATCTATAAGTATATTTCTAGCCTCAGCAAAATACTTGGCTTATGGTGAACACGTAGTATTGGCTGAATTTAATTTGAAAGTAAAAGTGCAATTTAAGTACTGAAAACAAAAACATACTGAAAAACACTGTATGTAGGATGCAGGAGAGACTTTACTGGGGAGAAAATATTTGAGATGGGAATTCCAAAAGGTGAGTCTGACAGTGTCTTGATACACAAACATCTCATCACCTGTTCAGCCTGACCTTATAAAACTCTAGGCCAACTGGATATGTATTCCCCCCTACACTGATGATATTTTCCATGTTTTTGGCTATTTCCTCCAATCTATGCAAACTTTTAAGGCTTTTATTTATCCGGTTCCTACCATCTATGTCATTCCACCATCTAAAGTGTGTATTTTCTCCCTCATTCAGTTTCTTTCAGATGACTGGTTCCCATCCCTGCTTACTCTGGAAATAATTGTCTCTTTTGTATAATTTTTGTACACACACACACACACACACACACACACACACACACAACTCCAGGAATGCTGAGAGTAGAAGTACTTTTCCCAAGGATCAGCCTGGATACTCTGAAAGCATATATATAAGAAATACTAAATGGATTAAGTAGGCTGTATTTATATGATTTATTATATATATATATATATATATATATATGTGTGTGTGTATACATATATAATGAGTATATATTTTCTTTAGGTATTATATATATTTATTTGTATATTATACATGAAATATTTTCTTCTAAAACGTTACAAAACTATGATTAAAACAAATGTAATGATAAACTAACATAATTTTCAGTTTAAAATGCTGAAAAGTAATACTAAATCATGAATAACAATATCATCATCTTAATGATACAACCAGATCATCAACGATCCATAGAACAAAATTACTTAGACTCACGAATACAGTGAAACTTGGATGTGGAGACTATCATTTCAAATAAGCACTATGCTGACACAGCTGAATTTTCTCCAAGTACCTGCCTGTTCTATTTCCTGATATAACTCCTAAGTTATTGCTGGTATGTTCTTCGTACTTTTTGATTCTTCATAAACTGAGGCAAATTCTTTTACAGCATAACAAAGTGAAGCTGAAGATGTAGAAGGAAAACTTTATAAGAGTTCATTTCATGGTCAGTGAATCCAGTTGGCACTTAAACATTGGGAGGTTTATCAGCTCATGTAAGAATTATCAGTGCTATTTTCTTTTCTCTCTTTTTTTTCTCCTTTGACTACTCAACTGCCTGTAATTCCAACAAATGAAACCAAAATACAGGAAAGCTCAAGATAAACAAGTAAACAAGCTTCGAAATCCCACCAGAACAGATCAATACTGGGCCTCCTTGCC